TGCCGCCCTTCTCCCCACGGGACTCAGGGCGGCTCACAGCATATTAAAATAACACAACACAAACAACACAACACAACATTTCCCCTATAAAAGCCAATTAAAACCAAATATTTATAGTCTGTGACATTATTAAAATCATTAAAAATTATCCCTATTTAAAATTCACCCTAGGTCAGTCCCGCTTGCTGAAAAAGCCATGGAGCCTCCCTCCCTGCCACGCGGCATTTTAAATGCCTCCCCGAGAAGGCCGAACTTTTTGGGGAGGGGGGTTGCGTTGGAGGTGGCTGATGGGATAGAAAACACTCCTGCCTGGGTGCGCCCACCTTGCTCCTTCCCTCCCCTGTCCTGCTTAGTTTTCTTTTAGTTGAATTTTTAAATCTAAGTCTGCTGTTTCTTGTTTCGTAATGCCTTTCCTTCAGTGTCTGCAAGCAGCCTAGAGTCGTCGCCTGTAGTGAGAACGGGCTGCGTACGATAAATAAACAAAATGGATAAACTAAGCGGGCTTGTGGGTCTCCCCGGTTCTTGATCACGGGATCTAGTTTCTGAGTGTCTGGGCCAGGGGTAGGCAACCTCTGTGCTGAGTCAGCTGTGCTGACTCAGGAATTCTGGGAGTTGAAGTCCACGAGTCATCTGCCTATCTCGGGTCCTTGGGAAGGACTCTGCAGGCAGACAAAATGCCAAGTCCGGTCTGAACACCTGGCAGGCTATGCAATCAGCGTTAAAATAAATGGAGATTAAATAAATTAAACCCAGCATACTACGGGCGGAGGTGGGGTATTCTTCCTAACCCACTAACCACCTCCAAAGTAGGGCCTGCCAGGTTTCAAGGCCCCTGTGGATGACCCAAGAGGGCAGGGGCGCATCTCACCCCAAAGGGGTGAGGTATTCCAGAGGGTGGGAGCCAGCTGGAGTTCCTTGACGGACGGGGTCCGCAGCAGGCCCTTTCTGCTGGCCTGGGGGGGGTGTCCAATCGCATTGGGGTGAGACAATTCCTCGGTGGTTTACCTGAGGGGGGATTGGATGCAGCATTATGCAGGTAGAGTAAAGTGTCCGTGGAGATTCTCCATCCTCCAGGTCATGGTTGTCCCAAAGGTGCTTTTTTTCCAAAAGGCCAAACGTTCCACTTCTCATCCAAGAACCTTCAGAACTTCTCCAGAACTAAAGAAGCTTCTTGGATGAGAAGCAAAACGTTTTCAATTGAAAAAAAAACACACACACAAGAAAGCCCAGCTGCCTTTCGGAAGGCACCTTTGGGATATCCAGGTGCAGGTATGCCGGCTTTCCTGCAGGCCAGGCTCCCCCCTCCCCTCTTCCCTGGTCCTCACCTAGCGGGTCACCTCAGCTCCTCCGAGTAAGGGGAAGAGCAGCCACTTTAGGGCTCCCACCTCCTCGGCGACGTCCCCAAACCCGGCTGGCCTGGGGCTGCTGCAGAAGCTGCTGGGGCGAAGGTGGCTGCCTGAGATGCCGACGGCTCTCTCCCGTTGCAGGGGACCTCCGCCTGTCTCTGCTGCTCTCCCAGCTGGTGGGCAGCCAGGAGGTCCGGGAGCTGCTGGCCCTGCAGTTGGCCGACTGGCACCAGCTCCAAGCGGACGTCTTCATCCGGGACGAGCGGCTGCGCATCTTCTGCCTCCTGGCTGGCAAGCCGGTGAGTTGTGCGGCCGGCGCTGGCTTTCCTCCCGGGCCGCTGTGGCCGTGGCCCCTTTCTCAGCCTCCGCTCTCTCCTGCCCCAGGTGTGGCAGTTGTCCGAGAAGAGGACCATCAACGTCTGCTCCCAACTGGACTGGAAACGCTCCTTGGGCATCCACCTGTGGTTCCTGCTTCCTTCCACGGCCCCCCTCTCCAAGGCCCTCAGCATGTACGAAGCTGCCTTCCAGGTTGGTAGCCTCTGGGGATGACACCACCCCGTCTGAATCGGGAGTCCGCCCTGGGAATGGAGCAGTCGGAGCCAGGAAAAGGGCTTGGCCGAACGACTCTCACTTAATGCCCTCCAGAAGGGCGAGGCATCCGATTCCTGGCCACTGGCTGGGGATGATGGGAATGGAATAGAGCCCGTCCCTTGCCATCCTTTGTTCCTGTCTCTGTTTGAATACCTCCAAGGTTTTGTGACCATTTTATTGTACACCGTCCAGGGTCCCTCTGCGAGGGAGACGGGTGGTTTTAAAATGTGGGAGAGAGACAGAGACAGAGAGAAATAAGAAAGAAAAAGAGAGAGAAAGAGGTGTATAGATGATGGAGAGGGAGAGAATAGAGAGTCAGAGGAAACGGTAGACAGATGATAGAGGAAGAGAGAGAGAGAATAGATGGTATAACAGAATAGGTGGAGAGGAGAGAGATTATGTGTGCATGTATGTGTGTGTAGGTAGGTAGGTAGGTAGGTAGGTAGGTAGATAGATAGATAGATAGATAGATAGATAGATAGATAGATAGATAGATAGATAGATAGATAGATAGATAGATAGATAGATAGATGATAGATAGATAGATAGATAGATGATAGATAGATAGATAGATAGATAGAATATTAATAGATGATGGGGAGATAATAGAGGGAGGATAGATAGATAGATAGATAGATAGATAAGATAGATAGATAGATAGATAGATAAGATAGATAGATAGATAGATAGATAGATAGATAGATAGATAGATAGATAGATAGATAGATAGATAGATAGATAGA